GATAAATCACCTCCTTTTCACCTCCCTTTTCACCTCCTGAACCATCACCTGCAATATGCAGGTGCATTAGTGAACAAAAGCTCACTAGTCATCAGGATGAGACATTTTTCAGGGAGCTCCTCTCCGGGGAACAAGCCCAAGTGGAAGCTGACTAGATTTAAAAAAAGATCTGTAATTCTCAGAAATCTTATTCATTATTAACAGAGCATTTCATAATACTGATGAGAATGTCAGAATTCAAATGCTTTAACTGTAAGATCACAAAAATATTTAACCTGAGTTAAATTTATCTTGATGTGCCTTTGGAGCTGCTCTTTGTTCCTTTCTCAAAGCAGTTAAAGTTGCAAACAAATCCATCTTGTTTTATTGTCAGCAGCATCTATTCTGCTTAGCAGGCACTTAGGTGAATTTATTAACAAACCTATTTTTAACCCACGAATACATAAATCTGTTGAAAGTGGCATCTTGATAAAAGCTCAGGAATCAGAGGAAAAAACAGCAAAAAAAAAAAGACTAAGAGGGAAAAGCTACGTGCCAGGGACTCCCAGGAGGGGACAGGGCTCCTTTACATGTCATTTTTCATCGAATAAATCCACAAAATCCAAGTGAAGGCAACTGGTCCACACGGCATCAGAGCCGTGCACGTCAGCAGGGCAGGAGGATTTCCACAGCTCGCTGCTTTCCCTCTAAGCTGCTTTTCCAACATACCTGTGTCCCTGCTCGGGATGATCCCCTGACAATCCAGCAAGGGAACAGAGTGTAGATCATCATGTGAACAAGAAGTGTGGCCCCATTTCGCCCGGGGGGGAGCGACAGCACTTCCATGGGAAGATGCCACACGGAAAACAGCCTTTCCTTCCCTTCCCTCGGGAGATTGCTGCTCGTGGCAGAAAGTGCTGCTCGGAGCATCGCTTGGGTGAGCTTTGCAGAGTGGCAAGAAACGTCTGCAGGTCTGTTCTGCAGGATTTTGGTAAGACTGGTGGAGATTTTCCCATGTTCTGCTGCTTTCCAGCAGCAAAGCTCCCGAGCCCACGCCGGCGGGGCCGTGAGGTGCAAAGTTCCCCCGGCGCAGCACACGGTTCTCTGACCAGTTTTCTTTTCAGTAGCAGATTTCTGGACATTAACAGTTGGCTGCTCTTACACAGCGAGAGCCAAAAAATCCTGGAAGCTGTTCAGGGGTTACAGCCAGGTCAGGATTTTCACCAGCCAGCCTGTTTTACACGGAGAGGATTCTGTGGCATCCAGGAGAAAGGGCTGACTTGCTCCTGCCTCTCCTCTTGGCTCCCCTCCTGCCCCCTTCCCCGCTGCTTTTCTTTTATAAATAAGAAATATCTGAATGTAAAGATCTGGATTTTGTAACTTTTTTTTCAGACTGAGCTTCCCTTTACCTTGGAGGATCAAACATTTCAAAGTAAGTCTGTTCTAACCCAAGTGATGCATTCATTAAAGCCATGAAATAGTCCCTGCACTGTGCAGATCAGAGGCAGGACACACTTGTTCTCTAATAACTGAAATTATGTAAGAGGTGACATAGAAATGGACAGGAATAACTCCAAGAGGACAAGTCATCAGAGAAAACCTGACTGGTTAAAACTTAGTCTTTACTAAATCCAGATTACAACATCCAAACTCTGTCCACCTTGGTGGATAGTTAAGCTCTTAACACAGTTAATTTGGGGTCTGAAGAGCCATACACTGAATTAACTTTTACAAACTAATGCTGTATCTAGCAATAGAGACATGTAAAGTGAGTTTAACATGCACAGAATTCCTTGGGATGGCCCTCAGGGTGACTCCTGGGGTTGGTCCTGTGCAGAGCCAGGAGTTGGACTTGATGATCCTTGTGGGTCCCTCCCAACTCAGGGGATTCTATGACTCTAAAAACATTTCACACAGAGAGAAGCAGTTATGCCAGACGGTGTAAGGATGGACTTCCTGCCTTGATTAGCTGCTTTCTGTCCTTTGACAACTCTCAAATGTTTTGCAAATAGCACATTCACCTTCTGGGACATGTTACAGCCTCAGGGGTTTTAAAACATGAAATCTGGTGGTGATTCAGCCCTGTGAGATTTGGGGGTGATGCTCGTGGCAGCTCAGGACTGACAGGTGGCAAAGATCATGACAATGCCCCCAAAGCCATATCTTTTATCAAGATGAGTAAGAAATACATTGGAGCTGCCTCTCACCAAAATACACCTTCCTGGAGCCAATGGCTAATAGCTGAAATCCCTGATCTGGGAGAAACAGGAGGGACCATGACTCAGGAAACACAAAACACCGATGGAAAGAGCTGCTCTTCTTCTACACAAAAACTGGCACAAAGCCACCAATAGTTTGGACAAGGAAATCTCCAACAGGTTGGAGGTACCACGTGAAGCTGCTCCAACCAAAACCCTTTTATCACAGTCATCCTCCCAGAGAACATGGGAAAGGGAGGGACACACGAGATCTGTACCCAACAAACGAGGAATGAACCTGAATGACCCCAGACCCTCCAGAAGCTGATGGAGCTGATGTGCTCCCAAATGGAAGAGCAGAGCACGAGGTGGGTTTTGCTTCCCACAGGTGGACAATTTGTCTCCTCCGCAGCGCAAACAATTCCAGGGAATTGCTGTCGTGCAGGGAGCACCTTTCACACCTGTGCACACCCAATTCCCATCCCAGTGGGAGGGTAATGGCCAAATTGCACCCACCTCCCACAGGGAACAGCCTCCCCTGAGCTGACACCTGTAGGACACAGTGGGGGGTGCACAAAATCAGGTTTTGTGGAAAACCTCCCGATTTTTTCGCTGCTGGAAAGCCTGGCTGGAGAAGACCGTTTTCCACCCAATTTGTTACAGCTGTTCAGCTTCTGTCAAACGCCAGGATAAGGTGCTGAAAATGTTATTGTCAAAATAAAGGGGGAGAGGAAACAAGGGAGGAAAGAAGCCCTTGTCTTCCTTTGAGTGCAAACACTGGCAGAGGAAAGCCTTGCTTTCTGAAAGCCTTGAAAAGTGCTTCCCTTACTCCACACCAGCTCATTTTTACACGACTTTTCCATCTGGGATGCATTAACACAGCCTTGGGATAAGCCACCTTCTATATTTCCAAAGTTTCCATGGGAAAATCTGAGTTCCCGACAGGAGGACCTCTAAGAGCGAATCTTCCTCGTGAAAGGCGAAACAAAATGTATCAGATTTAAAAATTAATTCCTACAGACCTACTGAACAGAGGGCAGGGCTGGGAGTCAGAGCAAAAGGATCCAACACCTCACCGTGTCAGGAACTGGGATGGTGCTGATGCTTCTGTGCCACCCAGGTGAAGCACAAAGGCCACCCAGAAGCCCCTCTGGCTTTCACATGGACAAGCAAGTCCAGATAAAACCAAACTGCAGCACTCAATGGTTTCACTGCCTCGGGTTGGCACCTGCCAACCCCCCTCGAGGCCGGTCCAGCCCAACACCAACACGCAGCACCCACAGACCTCGTCAGGAAGAGCAGCTGGAAAAGCAGAGAACACACTTGGTTTTTTGCCAGTTCTGCTGCTCCACTTGAGGCTTTGCTCAGGTCTTAGACCCGAGTGACAGCTGAGCCAGAGGCTGGACCCAGCCGGGCTCCAACACCCACATCTACTCACCGTGGTGCTCCAGCCCAGCCCGGCTTTGCGGGGCGGCTGCGGGAGAAGGTGCAGCTCTGACGGTGGGACACGGTGAGCAGAGAACTGAGGGGGTGGGATCCTGCAGTGACTCTCCCCAGGATTCATTAACCTACTTTGGCAGCAGCTCAGAATAGCTCACCCATTTGCATTTTAAGATCACGCAGGCAGAAGCGCTGCAAGGGTTGCTGTGGCATCCAGGAGCTGAACTGAGCCCAGATTTCCTGATCAGCCAAGCAAAATATTAATCACTAGTGCAACAAACCTCCCAAAATTATCAACCTGCCTTTCTTCTTCTTTTTTTAAACACTACATAAACTGCTGGCAAAGTAAAATCTTCTTAAGCTGGAGAAACACTCAACATACAACACATGGCAAGGACAACCAAGCGAGGACCATCCTGCCTGGTGTCACACAGACATCAGTGTTCTCCCATTGTGCCTTTCCAGTTATTGAACAGAAATTAATCTGTGCAGGTTATTTTCTCCAGATTCCTTACACTTACAACCCACAGATCACCCAAGGGAAAAACCTGCTAGAGCACCTGGTTATCTGTGCTGATTTTACCCAGCTCTGCCCAAGGCTTCCTCTTTCACTGTATAAATAAGATCTAAAAGTAAATTAATTGATGCAAAGTTATCAACCTCTTACCTCTCAATTTTCACCAACTACTATGCAGGGGTCCAGTTCACCTTGGTCATTGCAGTTATAACTTGAATAATGCAAAACCACCCCCTTAATCAGCAAATACAGGGGTATAACCTAAATAATATCTATTAGCTAACTAGAGTGCTGCATCCAGCTCTGGGGTCCCAACACAGGAAGGATGTGGATCTGCTGGAGTGTGTCCAAAGGAGGCCATGGAGATGCCAAGGGGGCTGGAGCTCCTCTGCTCTGGAGCCAGGCTGGGAGAGCTGGGATTGTTTGGCCTGGAGAAAGGAAGGCTCCAGGGAGACCTTAAAGCCCTTTCCAGGGCCTAAAGGAGCTCCAAGAGAGCTGGAGAGGGACTTGGGACAAGGGCCTGGAGGGACAGGACAAGAGGGAATGGCTTCCCACTGCCAGAGGGCAGGGTTAGATGGCATACTGGGGAGAAATTGTTCCCTGTGAGGGTGGTGAGGGGCTGGAATGGAACTCCCAGAGAAGCTGTGGCTGCCCCATCCCTGGAAGTGTCCAAGGCCAGGCTGGCCGGGGCTTGGAGGAACCTGGGCTAGCGGAAGTTTAGAAGGTTCTGTTGAAGCCCCTGGAATGGAACGATCTTGAAGATGCCCCCCAAACCCAAACTCTACCCTGTCAGCCCATCCCAGCCCATCCCAGCCCATCCCGCGGGGCCGAGCAGCGCCCGAGGAGGGCTCGGGCCGGGCACTCACCGATGATGCCGCTGTCCCGGCTCTCCAGGGTGGAGGTGGGGCTGGTGACAGCTCCGTAGGTGCAGTCCTTGGCCGTGACACTGGTGCTGACGGGAGGGAGGGTGGAGCAGGGGCTGCTGGCGGGCGGCGAGGCCGTGCTGCTGGTCAGGGTGGAGCAGGGGCTGATGCGCTGCGTCACCGCCGAGCTCTGCAAGGGAGGGGACACGTCACTCCCACAGCCCAGGCACTGCCAGGGGTCCTTCACGGCTCACACCGGGCTTGCTTCGGGTGGGGGAGGCAAAAAGTGCTTTATTGTCCAAAATGGGGCCACCCCCCACCTGTGGCAAACAGACACTGGGCTCGTTTTCTCCTTCAGAGATCCCAACTTCCACCTTCAACAGGAACCACGGAAAACGTGAACAGTGGGATTTACCACAAGCTTGGTTCCACACTTGATCAGGAATTTTTCAATCCAAAGTTCATTAAAAAAAGGGCAAAATCCACGCTAGAGAGCTACATTCTGAGCCTCTGTTGGAAGAGGAGATCTCTGGGTGGGAAGCACATGGTGGGATCTCACCTTTATTTACAGCAACAAAGACCATTCCCAGGAAATCCCACAAAGATCTCTGGGTCATTTCCACCTGCTCAGAACCCTCCCTAGGGCTGCAGGTTTTACTGTGCTCTAGAATTTTTCCTCCATTCAAGGAAAACGACAGTGGTTTTACACAGCCAGGCATGGAGGGGGGGGTCCTTCACAGCTCACACTTGAGGATTTGCTTTGTGTGGGGAAGGCAAAAAGTGCTTTACTGCTCAAAATGCAAACCTCCCCTAAGGCCACCCCCCACCTGTGGCAAACAGACACTGGGCTAATTTTCTCCTTCAGAGATCCCAACTTCCACATTTTCAACAGGAACCACAGAAAACATGAACAGTGGGATTTACCACTTGATTCCACACTTGATCAGGAATTTCGATCACTCTGTCAGATTTGAATTGGAAGTTTAAAAAAGAGCAAAAATCATGCTAGAGAGCTACATTCTGAGCCTCTCTTGGAAGAGGAGATCTCCGGGTGGGAAGCACAGGGTGGAATCTCACCTTTAAAAGACCATACCCAGGAAATCCCACAAAGACCTCTGGGCTGCTTCCATCTGCTCAGAACCCTCCGTGGGGCTGCAGGTTTTATTGTGCTCTAAGATTTTTTCCTCCATTCAAGGAAAACAACAGTGGGTGCTGCAGAGAGGAAGCTCAAGATCCTTTTCTAGATACAAGACTGCCCTTCCCTGCCCAGACTCGCTTTCGCCACCAGATAAAGTTTAAAAGAAAAAGCTCATAATAAGGAAAATGTTGCTCTTTCAGTGATGAAATTTCCCCTTGTATCCAACCTGAACCTCCCCTGGCTCAGCTGGAGGCCGTTTCCCCTTACCCTGTCCCTTGTTCCCTGGGAGAAGAGGCTGACCCCGACGGATACCGGAGGGAGATTATAAATTATTAAAGGCAGACCAAACCAAAAAAACGCAGGAGCACAAAGAAGATGCTGTTTTAAAAGCTGTTTTGGAAAGACCCTCTAGATACTGTGTGCAAGGAACCTGGAGGAGTTTCTCCACCTGACTGATTTATTAAGAAAACAAAATCATTCTTGAATTCCGTTTAAGACGAAGTCCTTGTTTCAACCACAGGCTACCAGATACAGAAGTCAGCATTAAAAAACAGGGGTCTGAGCATGTGATCCTCCCTTAAATTTATCTTTTGGGTTCTGCAGAGGGAGGTGGCCCCTTGTCTCCCTTGCTCAGGGCACACTGCAGAGCATGGCCAGTTCTGCAGTGCTGCTGTTGTTGGCTTGGTGGACAACACTTCACTCGTTGTTAAATGACCCTGGTCCCGAGGAGGGAACAGCAGAGGTTCATTCCCGTTTGGAATTTGACTAAATGAGATTTCTTTTATTCTGTGTGAATAAGATTTCTTTTATTCTGCGTGAACCCTTCCCTAACAATTGTATGGATCTGTATTCCCTTTTTTCCTGGCATTTGAACCCAAGGTGACCACGGAGAGCACGTGCAAACTGCAGAAGGGGCCTGACACCTGATTTTATTTCCTCCTCGCTATTCCATACTTGAAGTTTAAAAAAACATCTGGGATGGACTTTTGCAAGTAGAACATGGGACAGATTTACTGTTTATTAAATTAGAAGGCAGCTACTGTGTGTAGCTACCAGGAAGAATCCCACTTTATCCAACAGGAGTTGTAAAAATCCTCACTCAGAGTGTGACCAGCCCAGTGCTGGAGGCAACACGGAGCATCCCTGGCAGGGAGGAGGCAACACGGGGCAACACGGGGCAGCCCCTTGGCCCAGGGAGAGGGGAATCGATGCCAACTCAATTACAGAATATCCCAAACATGGATCAGCACATCAGCAGGGCAGGGACGCAGTGCCAATGTCACAGCTCTGCCCGAGGGGTTGGGTATCAACGCAGAGATCCCAACGCGGCGGAAAACGAACCGGGTGGGGGTTTCCAGGGGAATTTATAATCTCCCCCTGGTATCCATCGGAGTTGGCCTCTTCTCCCAGGGAATGAGGGACAGGATAAGGGTAAATGGCCTCAAGCTGAGCCAGGGGAGGGTCAGGTTGGATATTAGGGAAAACTCCATCACTGAAAGAGTGGTCAGGCACTGGAAGGGGCTGCTCAGTGCAGGAACAATTCCACCCTTGGAATCGTTCAAACAAGCAGATGTGGCACTCTGTGACATGGTCTAGTGGCATGGTGGGATTCAGTCAAAGGTTGGACTTGATCATCTTGGAGGTCTTTTCCAGGCTTAATGATCCTGTGATTCTAAAACCCCCCCCGAACAGGATGGCTGCCAACACACCATCACCCCTCCAACCCCTCGGGAGAGGCAAACCAATGCTCTGCCCTCCCCACCCCATCTGCAGAGCCACTGCTGGATCCCAGCTATTGTTATTTTCCATTCTTTCACGTTCTTGGCACCTACCAACACCCTTCCTTTTCCTTCCAGCAGCTGCAGGCAAGCTGAGTGCTCTGGGAATTCTGGCTCCCTGCATGTTCTGCTTTCACACATTTGTTACATCACCCATCACGAGCCTTCTCTCCCCACAAACCTTCTCCATCCCCTCACACTGCAATCTCCTCAGATGTCTGAACACCCTCCTGATTTTTCTAAATCTACTTTTAATTCTGCAACATTATCTCTGTTCATTCTAGTGGCCAAATTAAAAACTACTCGTGTGTCAGTATTCAATGCAAATACTGCAGTGTTTTTTTCCCTTTAGAATTGCTGGGGTTCGTTATTATTCTTACTCTCACCTGACACAGGGCTCTTTTTGGCTCGCTGCTCTGGGCCACACAGATGCTTTCACTGAGCTACCCAGCACAGTGGGACTCCCTTCTGATGTATCACAGCTGATAAACCTCCCTCAGCACCTGACCTATTAAATCAGCTTTTCCCAATATTTTCTTGAATTCACTGATAGTCCAATGAACTACATCAAGCTTAAGGCAGTATAATTTGGGAGGTTTGGAGAAGGAAGGCCAAGGGCACCCTGGGCTGTGTTGGGAAGAGAGATGCTGGCAGGGGAAGGGGGTGATGCTTCTCCTTGCTCAGCTCTGCTGGGACCACACTTGGAAGCTGCACCCAGGCCTGGGCTCTCCAGGACAAGAGGACACTGGACCTCAGGGCTGCCTGAAGGACTGGAGCATCTGACACAGGAGATACAGAGATAACCAAAACCCAAATGTTTTTTATAAGAGAATCACAGAATGGTTTGGGTTGGAAGGGACCTTAAAGCCCATCCAGCTCCATCCCCCTGCCATGGGCAGGGACACCTTCCACCAGCCCAGGTTGTTCCAAGCCCCGTCCAACCTGGCCTTGGACACTTGCAGGGATCCAGGGGCAACCCCAGCTTCTCTGGGCAACCTGTGCCAGGGCCTGACCACCCTCCCAGGGAGGAATTCCTTCCCAATATCCCATCTAAACCTACTCTCTTTCAGTTTGAAGCCATTCCCCCTTGTCCTATCACTCTAGTTCCTCATGAAGAGTCCATCTCTGGCTTCCCTGTAGCCCCTTGAGACACTGGAAAGTGCTGTGAGGTCTCCACACAACCTTCTCTTCTCCAGACTGAACAGCCACATTTTTCCAGCCTGGCTTCAGTTCCCTTTACCAACTTTGTGGCCTCCTCTGGAATTGCTCCCAAGTTCCACGTCCTTTTTATGTTGGGGCACCAGAACTGTGCTTGGTATTCCAGGTGGGAAATAATCCAAGCCAACCTGAGCTGACCCTGCCTCAAGCAGGAAGGTTGGATTAGATGATCTCCAGAGGTGCCTTCCAACCTCAAACTACAGCCTCTAAAAGTTCCATTAGCTCACGTGTGGGACCTTCCAGAACATGAAGCATTGTGACTGTTATAAATTCCTTAGGGTGAAGCTTTTCTGTGTCTTTGTTTTAACTGTCATTTTAAACAAATCCCCACTGAAACTTATCTCAGTACAAAATAACATCCACTAACTTTAAATCACAGAAAACACTGCACTTTAAAGCAAATTAAAATTCAGTGCAAGGATGGTACACTCATCTTCCCTCCAGCTGATAACACTATTGTTTCATGAAATGCCAGAAGTGATATAAGTTCCTTTATTTGCAGTGTTATCAATGCAGCTCCTGAAGAACAAGCTCCTTGCAACTGGAAATAATAAAATAACATGGTATATCACTTGGCATTGATTGACATGTTTTATTTTTGTATTGATATAGAAAAATGTTCCTCTGTGCGAGTTTTAAATATAAATTTCCATTGACAGAACATTCTGTATTATTATTGCTGCTGTTTCATCTGTCACATTTTCACTAAGCTTTGAAAAATTACACTGTTCTGCCAGAGCTTTTTGGTGTCCTCTGTGCTGCTCTGGCAGCCAGTGCAGTTAGAAACAGTTTCCCAAAAAGTGGGAGAGAAAGAATTTAATCTTCAGCATTTGGGATCTCTCAATAAGGAAATCACCATTAAGAGAGAGTACAGAAAACATACCATATAACTGCAATCTGGATTAGAGAATATATCCTTGGACATATTCAAAGTAAGGCAACTGGAGGAAAAGCAACACAAGAGATGAACAGACTGGGGCTGTTTCAGAGCAAACATCTCCATCCCTTCCCTTCCCTTCAGCTCAAGCACTGGTGAGATGGCAAACAATTATTGCCTGAGAAGGCAAAGCATGGCTGGAATAACAAGCAGCAGTTTTTGCTCCAAAATCGTTTTCTTTGCCCAGCCCATGCAAATTAACACATTAAAACCCACCCGATTGTTCTCGGTTTTAAATTCAAGTGCAAACTACTGGTCAAAGTCTTGATCAGATTTTAATTAATCAGTGAGTAACAGGAGAATTAATCTTTGCAAATCCCACAAATGTCTCACTGTGTGATTTTCAACATGACTTGACATAGGGTAGAGGAAGAAACTGAATTTGGGAAGGAGAGTTGGGAGAGGTTTTCTCAAGATTTGCAGCCATTCAGAAGCAACTTTAGCTTGGGCAGGGTTTGTGTCCTGGGACAGCCAGTGGGAGATGGCAGAGTCAGAGGAGGGCCCCAAAAATGTGGGATGGGTAGGGCTGAGGAACAGGAGAAGATGATGGAGGGGAGGAAGAGGCAAGATTGATGGAGAGGAGGAAGAGACACTGATGGAGAGGAGGAGGAGGAGGAGGAAGAAGAAGAGGGGAGGAGGAGGAGCAGGAGAAGAGGCTGATGGAGAAGGTTCCTTCAGCCTGGAGAAGGGACAACTCCACTGGATTTAGGGATAGCTGCAGCCTTCCACTGCCTGCAGGGGTTTGGAGAGAACACACAACCACGCTCCTCTCAGAAGGGAAAAGGGAAAGGACAAGGAGTGACAGTCACGGGTTTGACCGAGGATATTTTCTGTTAGAAAAGTTCTTCCCAGTTGAAGTGGCTGACCCTGGGACAGGCTGCCCCGAGAGCCCATGGATTCTCCACCCCTGGAGATCTTCAACCCCTGCCTGGACACGCCCTGAGCACCAGGGTCCTTCCCTGCACCCAGCCCTGCCTGCCTTCCAACCTTGAGCATTCCACGATTCTGGGCAAGTGCTGACAGCAGGAGCCATTCACAGAGAAAGGGAAAAATTAACTTGGTAATTGAGGAACCAGCCTCTCTTTATCTTCTCCAGCACATGAATAGCATTCAAAGGCCCTGGAAAACTTTTTCATGCAAAAATTAGCACACAGCCCAAGATACCAATCTATTTTAGAGGACAACTCTCTGCTGTTTCTCTTTAGATTTTTTCTTTTATTTATTCTCCAAAGACATCTTGGGCTTCAGAGAAAAGATGGGAATTTAATTTTTGTCAAAAGGCAACAACAAAAGGAACCATTTATAGTAGAAAGCTCTGCTTGGCTTTGAAGTATTCAGTTCAAATAGGTGCCTGTTAAAAGGACATTTTCTGGCCCAATGTATAGTAAAGTCCATTTCAAATCCATCACAACTTGCATTAAAAAATTGAATGAAAGTGTTAAAATGTGTGTGTTAAAGACAAAAACTTGACAAAACTACATTTCTTGGCTCTCAAGCAAACTTTAGCCCAGGAGATCAAAAACCTTTTGTGTCAGTCAACCCAACCCAGCCTTGGACACTTCAGGGATCCAGAGGCAGCCACAGCTTCTCTGGGCAACCTGTGCCAGGGCCTCCCCACCCTCCCAGGGAAGGATTCCTTCCCAATATCCCATCTAACCCTGCCCTCTGGCAGTGGGAAGCCATTCCCCCTTGTCTTGTCTCTCCATCACTTGTCTCAAGTCCCTCTCCAGCTCTCCTGGAGCCCCTTCAGGCACTGGAAGGGGCTCTCAGGACTTTCTGAAGCCTTCTCCAGGTGAACCCCCCCAGCTCTCCAGAGGGGCTCCAGCCCTCTGGGACCTCAGTGGCCTCCTCTGCACTTGCTCCAACAGCTCCATGTCCTTCCTGTGATGAGGACAGGCTCTTCCTGGCTGCTACTTTTCACCAACTCTTTTTTTAAGGAATTCAGGTCCTCTGAATTACACCTGTGTTGAATATCTCAGTGACCTGTGCAGAGCCACACGATGACTCTTAAAACGAGAGAGAATTACAAGTGGTTGCTGAGTTTCATCCTCTTCTGCTACATATTGGGACTATCCACCTGTCACTTAAAAAAAAATGGGGATGGAAATGTCTCCTAGTTTCATTCTCATCCCACCAACACTGTAAATCGTCCAGGCTTGAGGAGAAGGAGAGAGAAAGGCTCAGGTAGTTTCCACAAAATCTATATCACAGCCTGGAGGATTTTTGCTTTCCAGCCAGCCAGGGGGGATGTAACAAGTTCCATCACAATAAAGATTTTATGATTTGCCTTCTCTATCTGTTTTCAAGCATGAAATCACCTTGTTGGGCAAACACGAGCAAGAAGTGTGACTATCTGTAAAATCAGGCTATTACCACATCCCTCCGCCTCGTGCAGGGCTCGGGAGCCTTTATGTTAAAGCACTTCTGAAACAGCAAAGACAGAGGCAAGAACAGCTTATTTTGGTCACTGCAATCTGATTAGAAATGCTGCCCACTCCTATATTTGCAGTAACAGAAAAACAACAGCAGCTTTTCCGCTCGGCAGCAGCTGATCCCTGAGTCACCGCGGGACGAGGGGACACAGCCTTTCCCTCAGCACCGCTGGGAGACACTTGGAGTCAGACAACACCCACCCTCTCCCCTGCTCCAGACAGATCCCAATCCACGCCAGCAGGGCTCAGGGGGGCCATACCTGGTTCTCGTCCTGCACCTCCATGCTGTACTGGGGCCCTGGCTGAACCTCCGTGACTTTCTCTCCGAGGAGGAAGCCCAGGCGAGTCATGAGTGTGTTTGCTGCCTCATCTACGGATGGAGGGGGTCCCAGCTCCTGCTCAGCGTCACCTAAACGGGAAGAAAAACCAGATGCAGACAGGAATTGTTTACCTTGGCTGCTGCTCAGGGGTTTTGCCAACGCGCCGCCGCCACCTCTTCCCGCTGCGCCCGCGGGATCCGGGTTTTCAGGTTATTCATGTTGTTCGGGCCTGTTTTACCCATTCTGTGCTGGTCATTCATTGTCAATATGTGTTTTTTCCAATGGTTAGCTGGAGTTCCTCCTCTCATTGTTTGTTATTGTCTCCTGTGGAAGCAAACCCCAGCATCCTGCTGTCCCACAGCACGGCCACGGGAGAACGGGAATTTCTGGAGAAAGGAGAGCGTTTGTTCTCCTCCCTCACACAGGAACTGCCTACAAGTTACTCACAGAGAAGCCAAGGCTACAGGTGCTGTTTGGAAAGGATTCCATGAGCTGCAGAGCAGCCAACTTGTGCTTCTGAGTGGTTAAGAGGAAAGATCAGGACAAAAAAATCCACGTGCACCTTCTGCTGTCACCTGCTGTCCCCAAACTTGCTCATGGTTATATAGAAATCAAGCCTCTCCAGACTCCAACCCGCCTTCTGCACTCACCCTGTGGGCCACAACTCCAAGTCCACCTGCCAATTCCCCATCAAGTCTATAAAATAGACCAAAACCAACACTCCAGATAATTTTTCCTGATTTTTTTCCCACCACCTGAAGGAAAAGTGGCACAGAAAAGATCCCAGTTAGCAATGCACACCAGGAAAAGGCCAGGCATGGATACTGGCACTTCTGCATCCATTTAATTTTATAACAAAAGTCTGTGGAGGTTTTCAACTTGCATTATCACACAGAAGTTGGGTTCTGAAAGTCAAGTTCACATCACACCAGCAGCAGGGTCAAACCTGAAGGTCAAGCTCTTGCCACGTTACACTGAAGCAATACTGTGCTTAGTGCAGTTGTAGGAGACTAATTAGGATTTGCAATTAGTCTACAGTTAATTATTCATCTGATAATGTACAATCTGGAAAAGAGCCCGTCTCCATTTCCCAGCTCTGTCCTGGTTTGGGCTGCAGCTCCAGTAAAAGGATGTTACCTTACATAAAATATTGCTTTTTGATAACTGTAACTGAAACCCACAGATCACAGACCGTGGGATATGTACAAAACCTCAGGAAATTCAAGCCAGTTGCTTCCAGAAATTCCCATTTACTCCCACAGTGTGCAGCTCACGCAAGGTTACAGCGATTTTCTGGTGTCTCACTGCTGCAAATTAAAAACCCCAGAGCGTCTCCCGTGCAACCACGGGCTGTGTTCCTCCAGCACCAGCTCTGGGAGCCGAGCATCTGGAACAGTCCTTCCACGGTGGCTTCACTGTTATGAAAATGGATGATACAGGAGGATCACAGGAGCCTTCCTTTAAGTTATTGAATCCCCACTGTACTGCTGGAACCAACGGTGACGTGAATCCCATAGATTTCAGAGAGACAAATTTAGATGGATGGCCCAATTTGCTGAACTGCTGACCACCCACAGTCAGTCTGGGGGCATTTACTGTCTCTGGGAGCCCAAGCCAGAACAGAGGCACTTACGTAAAATGAAAATTAGAGAGACTTTTGTTTCCAAGGTTATTTTTTTTTTTCCTTGCAAAAGGAAGACTTTCAGACTTTACCCTGAATAGCTGTACCCAGGATATGGAGGTTCTGAATCATTACAAGTTTATTGTGCATTCCCTGTTCTGCCTTCAGGACCAGAGTATTAATAATACTCAAACAGTGCTGGTTACACATCTGGGCAGAAAGGAACAGCTGGATCTACCTCTGCACTGCCCACCTGGGAGGATTTGGGAGTGCCCAGGTGATGCTGGGGCAGCTGCAGGGAACTGGACACAGCCAGTTTCCTTCAGCTCAGCGTTGGGAACTACTCCCAAACCAAACTCACTCCTTGGAGGTTGAGTTTAAACTTGTCCTTAAACCCCTCTTTTTCTTTTTTTTCACTACCCCTAAGAAATCCCCACCAGGCACAAAACTGGCTTTCACCTGCAAAATAAAGAAAATTCCAAGCTTATCCAGGTCACTGCATTGGAATATGGAAGATACAGAGGATAATAACTGTAGGCTTTGATAAGAGTCCTCATGGCAGGGGGATGGAACATCTCTGAGGTCCCTTCAACTCAAACCATTCTGTGATTGCAATTCAGAGAATCATGGAAAGGTCTGGGTTGGGAAAACCATCCATTCCCACTCCCCTGCCATGGGCAGGGACACCTTCCACCAGCCCAGGTTGCTCCAAGCCCCGTCCAACCTGGCCTTGGAGACTCCCAGGGATCCAGGGGCAGCCACAGCTTCTCTGGGCAACCTGTGCCAGGGTCTCCCCACCCTCACAGCCAAGAATTCCTTCCCAATATCCCATCTAAACCTGCCCTCCTTCAGCTTAAGGCCATTCCCCCTTGTCCCATCACTCCATGCTCACGACCTGTGAGATGCTGCTCATGGCTCAGGGTATCAACAGCTTGAGCTCTGAGAGCTCCACATTTCATGTAGAGCTATCAATTATTTTATTATAACCTGGCTTTCAAAGTACAGATCACTTTGAACATAAGCAAAGCTCCACTGTACTGGATTATCCCCTCCTTAGGTCTTAAAAAACACGTGCAGTTGTTTAACTGAGTGTCAAAGAAGAGACAGCACAGCTCCGAGGTGCCTTGAATGGGTATTATGGAAAGAAGCTGTAAGTTGCCTTTCAGGGCTGACAGTAAGACCTAATACTCTCTTCCTAAGTTCAAGGAAAGGGTAGAAGTTGTTTTTTCTCCCCTCCCACGTGTGCCATCCAGTCGGTGCCGCAGCCACATTTTACACTCGCCTCAGCACACTCGGTTCCTGCAGCCTCACCAGGGAAATCTGAGCACAGAGCTGATAACTGAACTGGCCTGAGGTTATTTTTAGCTGCTCTGACACCACAGCTGTAACCAGCTACAGCAGCTCAAACACACCCCCCCAGCCAACTCCAGCAAGCAACCTCTGGTACATCCACAACCAGTAACACCCTGCCCAGCTGGGCACGTGCAAACCCCAAATCCAGCAGTGCATCCAACATGCTCACCATGGTCTGGAGCTGCTGCACTTGCTGCACCAGCTCATGTGCCTCTGCATCAACAGTCAGTAACACTAAAAGCACTAAAAGCTCAGTGCCAGGAATTTTAAAGAAGAATAAAAAACCCTCCCTGACTCATTGCACGTGCACGAGGGTTTTTAAGAGTTCTGTGTAACTTGCTGTCCCTTTATGTTCAGCACAAAGCTTATAATTTTATATAAACACACATAAAACTACGGGAGGAAAAGGGTTCTTGGGAGCTGATGTGCTGCTGTGCTGGGAGATGACTCAAACCCACCCACCCACCCACCCAGCCAGGTCTCTGTCAGCTCCCTGTGGCCATCAGACCACAGAACTTGGGCTTTCATGGCAGCTGACAGCATTCCTTAGCTGCTCCTGTCATTTGTGCCTCATGGAATTGTGCTCAGGGACTCTCTCCCAACATTCCACAGCCACATAAGTGCCACATCCCATTTCCAAGTCGGCTGCATTTGCCTGTCCAGGTCTTCCAAGTGTTTCAGAGCAGACAAGCCTTGAACACATCCCTAACTCGTGGTAACTCCTACTCAGCAACTTCACCGTGGCAGGGAAGGCTGAGTTCAGTTCTTAGTGAAAACAAGGGAAACAATTCTTCTATAGGAGGGGAAAAAAAAAAAAAAGAGGGGCAATTCTTTGGTTTCCACGATGGAACTTGGGATTAACACAAATGGTTCTGGGGTGCTTTGGTTTGTAGCTCAGGAAAGCAGAGCTGGGGTTCACCAGAGACTGATGGAGCCCAGTTGGGCTGTCAGGGAGAGGATTTAGGGAGAAGACTCTGCAGGGAAATGCCCATGGAACGGGCACAGCAGTGACCCAGCCTAGCACCCACCAGGAACCAGCCTGGCTCCGAGGGGAACCACAGAACACTTTGGGTTGGAAGGGACCTTCAATCAGAGCAATTAAGCCACATTTATGTTGGATTTTCCATTACTTTTCCATCCCCATGAAGACAGGACTTCTCCTAAGGGAGCACTGGGCACAGGCACAGGAGCCTGAGGGGCTGGTTTGGAATTCCCTCCCTTCCCTGGCTCTGTGCTGGGAACGGGAAGCTCTTGCCCTCCTGATTTTCCCTCCTGTGTGTCCCGCTCTGGATCACTCCAGGCACAGAGTTACATCTGCAGGCTCTGAGCTCCTGTTCCCAGCGTTCTAATGCTCTGGGAGATAAAAATGCCAAACAACCTAAACACAGGCAGTATTTTATTCTAAAAGGACACCCTGTTTCACGTCTCTTTCAGAGCTTTTATTTATTTCTGCCATATAATCCTGCAGTTACCTGCTTTTCCCAAAGATTAAGGATTAAGAGAAGTATCCTTTAACATCATTTCTATCAACTACCTAAAATTCAGTTGCATATTTCATACAATCTTTTACTATTATCTTTCACTCTTTAGAGGATACCTTTCATTTCTGTACAGCTCACTAAGAAAGACTCCGAATGTCTTATTTTTGCATTCTTTTGCTTTTGCAGTGCAAAGGAGGGCTGGTTGCTTACATTTTTCTTACCAAAAAATAATAAATAATCCCTGTACTCCTCGGACAAATTACCTCTGCTTCTAAGCAGGCTGCAGGCTTTGGAGACTAATCTGTCTTGGAGCTGTTCATGGATTTTTATTTATGTCATTAGAAATAAGCAATTCCCTGCAATGTGTTTGTGCTCTGCACAGGCTGGATCTGTGATGAAAGTCCTTGGACCGGTGGCCAACAGCTCGTAAATCTCTGACTTCAGTACCTGAAATGCTGACTCCAGGCTTGGAGCACTTGGCCTTCCAATTAAACACAGCCAATTCCAAGTGGGGAGAAGTTTCCCTATTAAATTATTGGGGAATCATTTTTAGTAACGTTTAAAAAAGGCGTTTTTTGTGGGGGGTCAGTAAATGTAACAGTGGGTGCAAAGGGGACACCGATGGAAGTGGGTT